TTTGGACCGCTGCATCTGGAAGTTAGATTGTCAATGAAGCTTGGACATGAAAAATAATCTGAGTATATAATTTTCTTTTTGGCCTCATTTCATTCGCTATGATCTAAACGGTGTAGAAGCCTGATGCTACCATGAAAATGCATAAACTATGTCAAAATTGCTTCCATCTTTTTTTGAGGATTAGTGGATTTATGGGGCCCAGTGGCAGCAATGTACTGTTCTATAATTGAATTGTGTATTAGTGTAAAACCTAGACCTGAAGTAAACTTAATGTCCGACCATCCTATTGTTGTCCAGTGGGAGGATTATTAATTATAAGCAGATTAAAACACCATTTAGGAGGGCCATTCCCCCCAAAGTAACCTTGGTTTCATTCGAGCTTTAAAAGATTATCCATTTGCAGCACTTTCCATCTTATTAATATATTCCCAGACACTTCTATGGTGCTATAATGGGGTCTGTATTTACTTTTCAACAAGGTTATTAAAAGGAGGCTATTGAAAAAGTATGTGCGATGTGTCTCTAAAAAGGAATAATGTTTCTGTAGAGGGCGGTGAAAGAATTGGATTTATAGTTCCTCTGAGATGCTATAGCAAAGTGTTCAGTTGAAAATGTGCTTCCCTGGGAGTGTAAATATTTCCAGGTGAGAGATAAAACTAGCTCAGCATAACGGCCTGCCCCAGTATGCTCCACATCATCAGAAGGGATTACAGGTTATGCAAGTGATGAAGGTCGCATTTTGTCTTTTTTACTGCTTATATATATAAATAGTAGACACAATGTTTTTCAGGTCTGGTTAACACTAGTACTCCTGGACTTCTGAAACTACGAGAACTCCGAGAGCAGTCCTTTTGAAAACTCCAATTCAACTAAAAAGAATTTTGGAAAAATTCCTGATGAACAGTTTCTCATTTTTTCACAACTTTTATAAATTAGATACATACACGATACAGGAATTTATTTGCCATTTGCAGTAAAACCACATTGGAAAAACTGTGCAAGACTACCGCAGTGTGCACCAGACAGAGAAGACGGCACACACCAGAGCTCTTGCCACATAAAGCAGACACAAATTAAGTAATTCATACAGTTTTTGTCTTTACTACATGCTAAAACTGGAAACATAACTGAAATACAGAAAAACTAAATGCTAACTGCTGCAAGTAAACGGTGTGTTGCTATGGTAACATGCACATGCTCCAAGCTGAGATTGCTCTGAACCAGTCTAGGACCAATCTAGGGTCAAGATCATTTAATAAACATCAAAACATAGAAATAAACTACATATAGAAACAGAAAAGGTCTCAAAGTTATGAAGACCAAAAACATACATAAACGGAATAACTACACTTCTAAAACAATTGACTGCTCTGGGAGTTCTGGTGTTAATACTTCAACTTCCAATGTGTCTAAACTTCTATAAACAAAATGTCCAAAGTATTAGATTTAAGGTTTTATTCATAGCGGATAACAGAGGTCGACTCCCTCTGTCCAACATGTCATACTTCGTAACTTTATAATTCATTCATAAGTCTCCCCCTCATTCCTGAACCTGAACTTCATGACCAACTTTAAAAATCTATTTCTAAACTCAATGGTTTAGTTAAAAAAAATGTATGAATATGTTTGTTACCCAATAATAAAGATGCAACATTGAAATCTTGAACAGCAACATTGGTACATTGTAGAGGAGTATGTCAAGTCCCCTTTAAACTCAATGTTTTATATTTGTGTCATATTTTTCTTGACCACTTATGATCGCATTATTCACTTATGAACCTGCCAGACCTGCTCCGTATTCTGACCCACGTACTCGATTGTATGATGAGGACTATACTTTCCAATCAGAGCGTCCGGCAGTGACTTCCTGCACAGCTACATTGTCTGGGAAGGGCTTCAGTGATGGAGATGTGAACCTCCACAATCTTAAAGCAGGAACTCAAGTGGAAAGCCCTTAACAGGTGCCAGGACCAGGGGAGGGGGACAATTAAAATTGCTCGCCGGGCTCTGTATTGTTCTGGGACAGTGCCTCCTTTGCCTGAACTCAGAAAGAAAATAGGTATTGAGGATTATACGCACAAAGAAACACAAAGAGCTTTAGAGAGTTAAGTTGGTGGTAGCTGCGAAGGGGCGGAAGTCCGGAGGAGACATACCGTGCATGTGGCGTGGTCAGACGAGCTCAGACATCTGACGGCCAAAAGGTCAAAACAAAAAAGCACAAAGGGCAACGTGGAAGGTGGCAGCTGCTCGGTAACAGGAAATTGGCACAGAGAGACATTTGTGCCTCGTAAGCAAAAATACAGCAGACAGATAAACCACATGAGGAGTTTAAAGGCTGAAACGCAGCCAGGGGATCGGGTCAGAAGCAGAGGTTTACTGTGGGGTCACCGGGGGTCTGCGAGGTCAGCGAACAAGTCACAGTAGTGGCGAGAGGAGAGAACCAGCTCTGACCGGCTGAGTTGACTGGCACAAAAGAATGAATGAGCCAGCTGAAATGAAGGGTGGATTTAGCCTTCAAAGTGATCAATGGTTTGTGTTCAAGTCAAACAGGTGCCTATAGAAACACACGTCCTGAAAGAAGTCTGCTGTGGACAGGGAGCAGACTGGACGTGACGTGGAGCGCTGTAAATTACTCGTCTGTCTTCTCATTATAGTCATTGTGGGGATGGACACCTAAGTTCTATTGTTCAGCCTGTCTAAAAGAAAGCCTATTATCCAGTAGGGATCAAAAAAGATATTTAAAAAGCGGTTGTAGTGTTATTAATAATAGAACTGCGTGTTAGCTATGGTTTTACCACAGGCAGTCGCAAATAGCATCTGTTTCTCCCATGGCTCACTGGTGTGGACCTGGTGAGGACTTACAGGCCCCCAGAGATGGGGTAGAGTGCCAGTTATGAGCATGTCTGGGGAATGACAACATCCTCATGATTTAGTGGAGAAGACCATCTGGAAAGTCACACTCAGCATTAGTTTGATTGAAAAAGTTTACAGATTTGTGTCTATTGGTTTTATTCTGAGGCCAGTTTGCCTGTTTTGCCTGCAAGTGGTTTATGCAAATTGGTTTCAGGAGAGTGATACATACATGTTGGTTGATTAATTGATTGATTTTAAAGCATTGACTTATTTTGGTCAATTTGGCGTAAAGAAAAAATTATAAAGTATGCCTCTGCTACTCCTAAATATGCTTTTAGATCAGGTTACATTTACAGCTCTAAACAAATGTACTGTATACATGTTCAGAATGGAAGCCTGTGAACTAAAATATCCTTTAAAATATAATTATCCGAGTTTGTTGTTAAATAGAACTACTATATATATAGTAGACAACAGCACACTATCTCCTTTAGGAACATTTTGTTAATTTTTCTGGAATTACCTTGGGGCGTTCAACAATCAATTATTAATGGATACTAGCCTGGCCAAATGTTTTAGCCATAGCAGAGGATCTGGCCCTCTGCTAATTTATGATTATGTTTTTCTGATGTTACCATATTAAGGAATGTTCAAAGCCTTTTCCATCTGAACTCATTTGTTCAGTCTGTCCCTAAAGGTAAAGCTCAAAACCAACAACAACGTGACTCCAAAAGTGTTTGTTTCCGTTCTGTCATTGTGTGGTTGGATTTTGTTTCTTCTTTCTTCTTGCATCGTAGTAAAACGTCTGTAAATAATTTCAGGGGAAGCTTCAGCATTTCATATTCCTGAACTTCAAACATCATTTGAGTAATACACTGATATAATGCTTGTGACAGAAAGTGCATTTGTGCATGATCCTGCAGCTCCAGAGTTTAATCCGCTGTATCGGCTCCAGATGTGTGCGACCGCATGAGGCTATTAAGATGTACCTCTAGTCCGGTGCTGTGTGTGTGTGTGTGTGTAAATTAAGTGAAAGCTTTTCTGAATCTCAGCCTACAGGAGCTCCTCACTTACAAACTACAGTCAGAGAGATCACAGTGCGGAGATACTGAAGATGCAAGATTATGTTTCACTTTTGAAATAATGTGGTGAGCCAAAATACACATTTTCAATATTTAATATATAAAAAACACATGTTATAATTGCATTACATGAAGGAATGTATCTGTTCTTGTCTTTTCAAATCACAACATCAGCTTTTTTCAGTGTAAAAGTCGACATGTGTAACCAATCCGATGACACAATGTTGCATGTCTGTAAATCAAAAGGATATGTCTTCCTTCCACAGACACTGGTAAACTGTTAGCGTTTGTGTTTACAGCTCTTAAAACGCCATCCTTCTCTGTTGAGTGCAGACACACACTCAACTTTGAAACTGTCCAATGATGTATTCTTTATTTGGTCCTCAATAAACACCTCGTCATTGCACGCTCAAGTGGTAAAGCTATTCATTTGGTCAAAAAAGTTCAAGCTTCCAATGGCCAGTGAGATTAAAACCACATGCTTATAAATATAATTTGAACATTGACCATATAAGTTCAGAAGTTCCAGCGGATGCCTCCCAGCATTAGGGGAAGTTTCAATTTTTCCTCTATCTTTGCCAAACAACTGATTTGCCATTAGGATGCATACAACAGCTCCAAGAAATAATTTACATATGAAATAATAGATAACATGAGGTGGTTGAGAAACAGCAGGTCTACAGCACTAAGCTCTACCAAAAACAACGAGGCAGCTACTGTAAGGGAATGGTGTAGAGCACTGTGGGGACGTCAGTGTTTCAAATGTGGCTATAAAAGATACATACTGTACGTCTATAAATACAAGTGAATACATATCTGAGAAAAAAAAGCCTTCTAACTTTTGAAGTCCAAGAGCTAACATTCATTCACATCAAAGCACACAATAAAAGTCACTGTTTGACATAGAGAATAATGACGACATTTGATTTATATTAGCTTTACTGCCTTATAAGTGCTTCTGATTCAGCCTGATTTCCAGTTTTCAAGATACAACAAGAATTTCAGTCATTCTCTGTACAAGTCACTGATGATTTTGACAGTGTTTGAAATGCTAGTTGAATCCGTTTAGATTTGGGGCGGGTTGTCCACAGCCACGGCTGAATACTCTGCGTCGGATACGTTGGATGTTTCGATCAACCTCGCCAACCCTGTCCGTGTGGAGTATTTAAAGATGAAGGCCTTCATGAGGTCGTAGCGGTAGTTCCTGTTGATGAAGTTGTAGAGGATGGGGTTGAAGCAGCAGTGGAGCAGGGACAGACACTGGGTTAGGTGCAGCGCCACATACAGGACGTTCTCTAAACAGCAGTTGAGAGGAAGTAGACCAAGTTGAGAAAGAGCATCCGCGAAAAGGACACTGTGGTAGGGGCCCCAGCATCCGAGGAAGACGATGATGTACGCTAAAATGACTCTTCGACTGATGCGACGCTCTTGCTCCACACTGGTTGACTCTGCTGCTGCGGAGGAGGAGCGTTTGAACGTGCGGGCTAAAAGAGTGTAGAAGACGGCAATAACTGGAAACGGGAGGACAAAGCCAAGCAGGATGAAGCTCAACTGAACGCCAACCATCCAATCTCTCGGGTTTTCTTCCGGATACACCGGCCTACACAGCATCAAATCCCCATGGGAAGATTTGACCATGCGCAGGAAGTAGGTGTCGGGCAAGCTGGCGACAAAAGCCAACAACCACACCCCCACACAAGCCGCACGGCGAATCAGCTTCCGCCTCACGCCGCCATCGCTGTCCCCGTGCTTGGCTACACTGAAATACCGGTCAACGCTCATGCACGCCAGGAAGAAGATGCTGCCGAAGAGGTTGACCGAAAACATCAAGTGTGTGAGCTTGCAGGCCATCTCTCCGAAGGGCCAGTGACCGTGCTGCGCCAGGGAGCTAACCCATATGGGCAGAGTGGCGCACACGCACAGATCTGCCACGGCCAAGTTTGCGATGTACATGTGCGTCTCATGGCGAGGGGTGGAATCTCGCTGCGCACGGATGTTGACCCAGAGGACGAGCGCGTTGGCGGCCAGACCGATGATGAAGATGAAGGAGTAGAGCACGCACATGGAGGTGAGGAGGGCGCTGCGGTTGAAGGTCGTGGCGCACACGGTTGTGTCCACACTGGATATGTTGCCCAGGTGCTCAGAGATGTTGAAGTCGCTGGAGGTCAAGGACTCCCACAGGTCCTCCAGCTCACTGGTGCTCAGGCTCATTGTGCTCCGCTGGCAGAGGTCCACAGACTGATCTTTGATTATGTTAGCACCTGTAGAAACAGAAAAGATCCTGTTATGTCATGTTCTTTCAGTTTTGTGATTGACATTTTGATGCTACTTGTTCTTTGGACCAGATCAAGACCACAGGATTCATGCAAATTTACTTTATTTAGTCGAGTAATTTTGTGGTTAAAGCTACCGTTATTTTTCTAGTTAATCCCTTGGTATCAAATTCAAAAAGCAATTTTCCATCACATTTGCTAGCACCCTCTGGACATTGACTGCTTGAGCTAATAAAACATGAAGTACATGCGGTCTGCCACCAGATCCTGAAGAATCTTAATGTGGTTAGCTTGTTAAAACAGTCCATTCTAGACCGCATAAGCCTCTGTGTTGTTGTTGTGTCACAAACCTATGTGCACTATTTGATTGATGTTGTGTCAAAGTGGCCGTACAATAAATGTTTACATTAGCTCCACCGGTGCAGAGTGCATATTGGACACAAGGAAGTAAGATTGAGAAATCTAAACACAAACTATTTCCGGAGTGTTTTGGGCATTCCGAGATAACGCGCTGGTCAAGGGTGGGAAATTGGATGCCTCTTTAATGAATGTTTTCCTTTTAACAAAATTTGAAAAATAATAATAGTGAAAAAACAAATATTTGCTCGAGGTAACGTTGAAGAGCTGTCACCATGTGTAGGATCAAAGAAAAGACAAAGTTATAGGTTCAAAATGTCATTTTACAACATCTGCGTCTAATAAGACTGAGGTATGTGCTCATAATTTCCAGTGCCCTACATGTGTAGAGGAACAAAAGGTGGTCCAAGTCATTTGCAAGATCACAGTGGGCAACTCTGCATACATAAAACTAGAATGTAGCCATTATGCCTAAGGTTAGGGTTAAAAAGTCTGTCGCCGCGAGGCTCTGTCTGGCCTGTCTTCACAAGTTTGAGCTGTGACGTCTCTCTCCGTCTCTGCTCTAACTGTGGGTTAGCAGCACTGGGGAAGGTTCAGAGGTGAGAGGTAGTAGATCAAAAGCAGAACACGAGTGGTTTAACCTCGCCCGGTCTGGACTGTTGTGTGGAACTCAGGGAGTGAGTTGTGAGCAGACAGCATCAGGGCCCCACGCTCGCCCGGGTCACTGGGTGGTGACACAGCACGACCAAGAGCATTGAAACAAGAGCGCCAGCACATCTGCCATCTGAGACTTGTTTGGATCGGGGAGAAAAGTTATAAACTCTTTAACTTATTGTCTTTAGGTAGACATGGTGTCAAGACAGTATCTCTGTCAATAGTCTACTCATGGAAATTCATATTGACAGAAGAAACAAATAGGTCTACAACACAGGAAGGCTGTGGTACTGATATTTTGTATATAATAACCCTGGAGACAAGGTTGCTGCAGATGTGTGCTTAAAGGATAATGATACTGTATTCAGTTTCACAATAGCTGAATCATGATGCAGTTGTGGAAGTGATGTAAAACATTCATCAACAATGAATCCCAAATAAAGATGGCATAGGTTATATGAGGATTTCTGAAGGAAAAAACAAACTATATAACTGAGAGAGCAATTCTCACATTCCCACTCAGATCTATAGCTTTCAACCTCTGCCCACACAAAAGCTGTGGAATCCATCACCTTTTCTCCTCTTCTAGGTGCTTCTGGGGATTGTGTATGCAGAGATAATCCCTCACAATAGTCTCTGTCGAATTCCCTTCATATTATATGGAAAATACCCGTGAGTGCCTGGTAGCCACAGGCTTCTACTTAATTAACCTTTTTAGCACAGTCCATGATCTGATAAGGGCCAGCAGCTCCAGCAGTCCATCTCTGTATGCGCGAGTGCATCTCTGCCTCCCCCTTTAAGACTCAGCATCCACTTTCAAATGAGCCGAAACGGCTTTTGTATTTCACTGCGCAGACAATAAAAGCGTTTGAAGGCTAGTTTCATGTGCTAATGGGTCTGACAAGCGCAGTGCAGGTGCAGCGTGTTTGCCGGACTTTCTTGTCCCGTCTCACTGTGTTTACATTCTTTGGTTAGGATAAAATCTTTTCAACGGAAACTTCAGGTTTCAGCGCTGAGTGACAGAAGTAAAGGCCAAACTCAGCTCATGGTAAACATACAGTCACATTGTTGGCATTGTTGATTTCTATCTGCTGGAGACAGACTTATCAGATGTCACCCAGCATACAGTAGCCTGGCTTAGTGTGTGAATAGGGGGCAAATAAACTGGGGCGCGGGATAGAGAATTAGTCAAGTGTTAATAATGCGGTAGTAAACCGGCTTTTTCTTCACAATACCTCGAACAAAAGATGACAAACCCCTGTCCCGCGTTTTGCAGGAAGTGGGTTCAAAGTTATTTTAAAGCTCCAAAAAGACTTCCAAACATGATAGTGCGCCGTGCTGACGTTATGCGCTAAATTGTCCGCTCGGTTTCAATGGTTCGAAATAATTAAGTAACAAAAAGTCTAGTATGAACATTCGCTTACCTTGAACACTTTACAAACGTAAGAATATCCTCTGGTCTCTAGTTGAAGATGGCATAGGAGTTTGTTTTCCTGTGTAATAGTTGTCTATAGTCCAGCAGCAGATGCGCTCTCCGCGCCTCCTCACATCAGTGTGCGTGTGCGGCTCTCGCTGCACTTGCTGAAACTCTCAGAGCTACGCCTCGGAGGCTGGACCTGCAGCTCTGATGCATATTGACATCATGCATCACCCCAATAAACAGTGCGTGTGCCTTGGGCACAGACGCACACGCAGCCCAGAGTTTCGACAAGACTACAATCCATAAGAACAATGAATTCAACAGTCACCAGAGATAGATCTATTATTACTGTTACATTCAGTAGGAATGATAAGATAATCTTGATAAACTGTGCACGAGCAGCACATCCACAGGCCACGGTGGAATACTTGTTTGTAAATATGACACACTGTAAAAGTCCCTATAGCTTTGTACATTATTATTTTAAACAACTTCCCATGTCATATGTTCATCAACACACTACTAGTTTGTGTTAAGTTAGAAAGAAAAATCAAATATATTTGTAGCATTTTGTCATAACAAACATTTTAATAACTATAGTGTTAAACAATCTTAACTCTGGTCACATTTTTAAATATTATTTTGTCAACTTTGTCAAAGTTGTTAACTTTGTTAACAACTTAGTTGTTAACTAAACAACTAAAGTCACAAGTGAAACACTGTGTGCATTTGCAGAAGTGCACAATACACAGACTACAGTCATATGTGAAAGGGCTGTGGCTGTCTGCACACTCTGCTCCCATGCCACACCCTCTGTCACCTAAATATGAAACCAGATGAGCAGACAGCCACGAACCACATCAACTGTCCCAGGCTTACACCCAAAACCAACACAGGGGCTAGGCCGTCCGCCACAGACCACTGGACGTGACAGGACACACCTGCCCACCCACTGTCACTGCTACAAATGATGCACGTTATTTCAGTGAGGGCAAAGGCAAGCAATTAGGCATCCTTCTATCAACACTATTGTCTTTTCTTTCTAATTAGCTTTAATAAAATCATCCACCTCTGGACTGTCTGGCTGTTTTATTGTTTTTGCATTTAGTCTTTGGCTCTTTATTTGGTATGGTATGGTTTTTATTTTTACAGGGACAGTGTACAATAAACATTAGCCAAGAGGAGAGATGCATGGTTGTGGCAGCAGTGCTAATTTACACCTGCAGGTTGTTGTAAAACAGTAAAACAAAAGTAGATGGATACAAACTAGATGGATCTGGAATGGCATAAAGCATTGAACAGAATGGCCATAAAATATTTTCTATACTGTGCAATAAAAGGCATCTTGGCTGTGGATCATTCCGCAAAAAAATTTGTTCAAATGCAATCTAAGGCCAAGACCTTATTAAAATCGTATTAAATTGCCACACATTGACTAATAGTGGTGAGTAATTGCAGTTTGGATGGGATTAGCTCATTGTTGCATTTTATTACTCGCACATCCCTCAAGACAAAGCATTTTTCGGGGAGCTGCCCCTTGTGTTTTCTTCTCCCTCAAGTGCAATTAACCCCAGATTCAACTCTCCCAAGCTGCCATTCCATAACATTACCCAAACGATTATCACATCTCCAAATCACAATAACCTACATTAGCGTTCATATGTGACAGGAAAAATCTTTTGATGTCTTTCCCCCTGATATTGTTGTAACCAGGTACAATGTGTCCACAGTGTTTTCTCAGGAAGAAAATCTGCAGAGATTGGTACGGTTTACCCCTCTGAAGTTTATTATGAAGGTACGCCCTGCATTCTCCCTGATGAAATACAACCAGCAGGCAACTCTGACCTCATTACCGACCAGGGAACTGTGGTGAGTTTCTCCAAGGGCTTTAAACCGGGTTGCCAGTACGCACGCACACCCATTGTCCTCCCTATCAGCAGTATCGGAGGGGGTTGTAAGACAGCCTGATAAGCATCCGTAAGCCAAGACCTCGTTCACTGGCAATGGGAACTTTGCAAGACCAAGTCCCGTCTTAATTAGATTTCATATATATTTTCATTCTTGCCTGTATATTTGAAATGCTTATGCTATGTGGGAGCGGTTGATATAACAAGACTAAGTCAATAGAGCAGTGCAATTTCTTCGAGGCTGCAAATCCTCCTTAAAACAATTACTCTAGGCAATTACATCAGACACAGATTCTTGCAAAAGGGGCTGGTTTATTGATGAATGAAAGTCTTGGAAGATTACGTTTGTGAATTCACTTTTCTTTTGCAATGGCCTGGAGATGATAGAGATATCGTTGCCTTCATTCATTGCCTTCTGAAATGAATGAAGCCCTACAAATGTATAGTCTGTAGTCTATTATTGTTCTTGTGCAAGTGTTATCTTAAAAAAGTAAGTGGTTAAAGCTAGGGTACTTAAAAATAAATAGAATAATATTGCCAGTCTTTCTTTTCTATCTATTCCGTCTTTTGCACAATCTGAGTGATTCTATCCATGCCAAATGTGACATGTAAATTCCTCCAGTCTGAGATCAATAAAGTCTGTCTTGTCTTATCTTATCTTCATACATTTTTGTCCCAGCTGAAAAAGTTTTGTACAAATATTGTGACCAAATTGGACTACAAGATGCATACTTCGAAAAAAGAAAATCCCAGTGAGTCCCTATTTGACACTTTGAGGTGAGAGCTCAGTGAGGGTGGTCATGAAGTTCACTTTTATCTCTGAAAATAACAGATCAAAAGATTTGAGAGAGACCAAAAAACATATTTTTTAGCTTATTATTGTATACAAATATTCTTGCAGTGTATGATAAAGTAGTTGATATTGCGTATATGTCACTAAATACAAGCCTTATCAAGCCTGAACAAATAAATAATCAGACCATTTCTCAAAAGTCATTCTCAAAACAATGGCTTTGAGCGATAAACACGTCAGAGATTCGAAGCGTTTATTCTTCAACAGCAGCAGACATCAAGATCGTTTTTTTCGCACTATTCTTTTCACTCCGTCTCCATTGTGAATAAACACGATGAATGGATAAGGAGATGCAAAAAAAAAAGTTCCAGCTAAAAGGCTGCGCAGACGTCAGCGAGACAGAGGTGAGAGGTGGAGGCCGGGGGTGTGTGAGGCTGAGCAAAACAACTACACAAATGACACAGTGTGGCTTTAAAAGTGTCTCTGTGGTGGTGCCACTGGGGCAAGTGCTGACACAGATAAAAAGAAACATTGTGTAGGAACAAGTTAAAGCTGGGGTACCTAACTTTCAAACCACAAATAATGTTAACCACTGAATCAAATCCGTCTAACTAGTTCTTTTCTCTCAAAATAGTTTAAAGTTGAACAGATTCTTTCCCCAGTTTTCACATACATTGGCCTCTGTCCGATCAGCTTGCCTAAACAGAAAAGTTAGAAAAAGAGTACCACCCGCTCTCAGCCAATCAGCTCTTAGCTCAAAGTGTCAAATAGTGACTCACAGAGCAAGTATGCAAAATCTGTTTTGACCATTTCAAAACTTGTATATGATTTGTCTCTCTATTCGTAAATATGTGTCGTGCAGGTTCGAAATAAATGTATTGAACCAATTCTATCAGTACGTATATGAAACACAAAAGTTAGATACCCCAGCTTTAACGACCCGATTGTGTATCTGCCACGATCGTGTATCCGTGTTATGTTCTTTCTCAGGTTTTTTCAGACAGAAGAAAATCAGGATATGGTTTATAAAGTCAACGTGTACGTCACTCATACGGCATAAATGGAAAAACATACATGTCATCTATAGAGACATCGAAAGAACATAACACGGACACACAATCATAGCAGATACAGAATCGGGTCGTTGTGACATATACGGACGACCGATCCCTTGTATAGCTATATAATTCCCATACTAATTCTGTGTCAAGTAAAAACTATTGAATGATACATTTTCCCACAAAAACTTGTCAAACTGTACTATGTGTGTGTATTGAAGCCCTTGAGCCACTACTTTCTCATTGAAACCAAGAGGAAGAAAGAGTTATTCTTACAGGCCGTGTTTCTTTTGTTTCCTGGCTGTGAACCGCAGTGGGGGGTCTCCTGGATGTGGGCTATTTTGGTGCTAATATCCATTCACCTCAATTCACTCTGCACCAAAACATCTTCAGAATCAGCCACCGACCTGCCTAATAGACTACCCCTGCACATTCCTGCTCTTTCTATGCCCCTTAATCTCGCCCACATCTCATCCAATCACTTACTTGTGTCCAATTATACACCGGATAAAAGGCGAGAGCTGGGCGTTCATGCGGGAGGCCAAAGAACACGAAAAAACTAGATAAAAGGTGTTGTATTTATAACTAAGAGACATTCTAAAACCATGTGTTTTAGAATGTCTATCGACCTCTGAGTGGCAGGCCAGTCCTTTTAAGTTAATTTTAGGGGTCTTCTTGGACCTGCTAAATGACAGATGGGTTCTTCTGTTTGGATTTTGGCTGACTGTTGCATTATTAAACCCACTCCATCAGGAGTGGGATGACACTGGAGCCTGCTAGTCTACCACTTGTTTAGACCACAGAGATGGATCTCAGACTAAGAGACAGCTGGACCAGAGACGTTAGGCTAGAGAGGCAATGGATTCTTTTTCAGATGCAGACGGGAGAAGACAGATGGAGGGAGGCGGACCACGGGACCCCGGAAGCTGGCTGATACCACGCCCCTTCTTCCTGCACATTTTACTTAAGGAAATAGCTTGAATGTGTGAGTTAGAGTTTTTTAGACTGGATCAGGGACAGCAGTGTGAGTTTGCGTGGAGCGCCCACCAAAATCATACTTTATACTTTATATAGGGAATAAGGGATAGTTAAAGTTGGTCCAGGTCGTTGTGTTAGATTCTTTTTGTATTAGGGAAATAAACCTTTTTGAATTTAACTTTCTGAATCATGGTCATCTTTATAAGGGATTTTGAACACGTCATTTTTTAATACAATAATTGGTGACCCTCGACGTGATCCCTTTTGATGACTTTCAACCTATCCCTGGACTCTACATCTCTCCTCAAAGCGGCCGCTGATTTGAAGGTAAGCAGATACCTTTTGACTAATTAAAAATCTGCATATTGGACTACACAAATTAAGGGGAGAGGAGTTTTGTCCACGGAGGAGCTAATTCAAAAAGTAAAAATAGTAAAAGCCTAAAAAGTAGTGAGAGCCTTGCGAAAATACGTTAAAATTAAATAAAATAGGAGTCTAAGTAGCTAGAACCCTGCGAGAATACATTAAAAGTAAAGATTTTTTGAGAAGCCTTGCCAGAAACAGGAAAGCCCGCTGTGACTAGCGTGGTTGACGGACGCGTCAACACACAAGTTAGGTTTACACCATTGGAACCTGGGGGAATTTTGGGCCCCCCGAAAAATGGAGACAGGCATTCCAATCGAGCAGCTCTATAGAGAAATAGAGGCTCAGATTCTGAGTGGTCTGGATAAAAAATATAGGAACAAGGCAAAACGAAAGGCTGTGAAAGCATGGGAAAAAATACAGAACAAAAGGGTCATACCTGAGTATATGACAGCGTCCGCATTAGCTAGGATATTGCGGGAAGAGGAAAATAATCTAAAACAGGATTTAAAAGAGCTTGAGGGAAAGCAGGGAAAGAGTTGGTAATGAGTGTAGAAAAATTAAAAAGAAACTAAAAAAGGCTGAGAAACTGAGGACCAATGTACATAATTTTGCTTTGGCTGCCACGGCGTTGGCAAAATTACCTATGGTAAGTAAAGACAAGGAAACAGAAAACGGAGCAATGCCGGTGAGTAATATATACCCATCCCTACCCACGGCTCCACCAAAGTACTCTCTAGGTTTAGAACCAGGTAAGCCAAATCTAATATTGCCACAATATACATTTTCAGGAGAAGTGGCGGTAGGAAAGAGAGGGGACAATGACTTTGTAGACAGTGAATTGGACGAAGGGACAGAACAGGAGTCTGTGGGGGACAATAGAGATCCGAGTCAAAATCCAGCTGTCAGCCTCCCGCCACAGCTCCCACACACCCCTCACCAACCCCCACCCATCCAAGAGGTGCAGGAGCTGCTCCTGCACTCTCTCAGAAATATTAGAGCTAGGAAACCGACCTCTGAATGCACCACAGACAGAGTTGAGGGAGAAGAAACCCCAAGTAGGACCCATGATTACGAGACCGCTAGACAGGAGAATGCAAAATTAATTAATAAAGCCGCACGCAGAGCCATGACTAGGACGGACAGTGAAGTGAAAAGGGAGACGGTGCCATGGCCCAGCCAATACTTAAAGCTAAAGGCTAAAAAAGGAGCTAAATTCTCTTCTGACGATAGTAGTGATGACGGAGACCAGGAGCCTGGAGAAACTAGACCGGTGGCAAGCAGAACCAGGTCTCAGACAAAATCCATGTTCCCTCTGAGACCAGGACGAGGCGCAGCTGGGGAGTACCATCCTTTTTCTGTAAGTGACATGCAGACTATAAAAGACAAAATGCCTCCATTGTGTCAAGGAGCTGGAAACTGGATTTCCAGTCTCAACACATGGTTTACAGGTCATGATGTGGCGATGGGTGACGTCCGGGCAGTGATGGCAGCATGCAGTAAACCATGGGAGAGAGATGCTATTGAAAGACAAGCTGGTACTGCTGATGTTTGTGATTCTTCCAGATTTGGCCAGTATGCAAATGCCTGGTATGAAGCACTGAGGGAAAACTTTCCAACCCCGCTGTCTTCTGCCCCTCGTGAGTTAACTTGGCTGGAGTCTGAGGACCCAATTGTATTTTATGACAGGAGTGTGACCAAGTGGATGGACACAGTAGGAAGACACCCTCACAAGGTCAGTGAAGTCATGCCTTTTAGAACAGCTATTTTGAATGGTTTACCAGAAACAATACGCTCAAAGATTGAAGACAACCCAGATAATA